GGGAAAGGGTTAAATCATAAAAGGGGAATATTTTTTAAATGAAGAATCCACTTTCAACAGAAACCCGATTCCATAAAGATAAAATTCAATCAAAAGTAAAAAAAAAGGGAAAAAAGGGAAATTTTTTGGGCCCCTTGGGCCACCCCTTTTTTTAATGGTATATTAGTAAAATTTTAAAAGCTGTTGAAATATTTCTTTTTTTTCTGCAGGGATGACCTTGACTACAATTTAGGTAAAACTACAAAATAAAAACATTTTTTCCCTCCCCCTTTGGGGAGTAAAAATTTAAAATTTTTGATTAAAATAAAAATCCTTTTTTTAATATTTTTGAAATAAGCAGCAGGGGGACTGGGGGGACAAAAACTTTTTCCCTCCCTTTTTTTTAAATACATATCAGAAAAAGGTTTTTTTTTTAAAAGGAGCCTTTTAAATTTTTTCAATAAATTTTGGGGTACTAAATTTAAACCTGCTGAATTTGAATGGTTCCCCCAGTTTAAATTTGGGGGAACATTTCTTAAAAAGTTTTAGAGTTTTCTTTAATCGGGTTTAAATTTGAAAAAAATATGGGGCCCAGGGGGGCCCTGGTTTTTAACGGTGGTTAAAAGGGTAATCTGGGGTTTGTTTTCGCAGGTTATAGATTAAAAAAAAAAAACAGGGGGTTAAAACATAAAATAAATTTTAAATTCAGAAAAATTGTTTTTTTTTTGTTTCCCTTAAAACAGGTAGTTTGGTTTTTCCTTTTATAAAAAAATTAAAATTTAAATTTAAAAATTTGAATATTGTCAAAAAGGTTTTTCTTTTACTTAGGAGACCCAAAATTTTTATTTTATTTTATATTTTTGTACATCCCATAAAAAATTAAAATTGGGGGTCGGGCCAAATTTTGCTGTGATTTGGAAATTAAAAAAGAAAATTTTCATCTTTTTTTTGGCACAAATTTTAAATTTAAACCATTTTTTTAGGGAATTTGTTTGTAAAAACCCGGAAATTTGAATTTTTCTTTTTCCCAAAAAAAATCAAAAAGATGCAGAATTTCTTAAAATAGGGGAAATTTAAATCTACATTTTATTTTTGTAATATTTTTTTGATATTACAGTGAAAAGGGTTTAAATAAATAAATTTTGTGAATTTTTTTTTTTAGGTTAAGATAATTTTGTTATTTAAATTTTCTACAAAGGTTTTATTTTTTTTTTTAAAATATTTATATTTAATTATTTTGTTTTCAAAAAACTTTCATATACGAAAATTAAAACCAATGGGAGTAAAGGGTTTTAAATAAAAATTCAATTTTTGTGGATTAACAGTGGGTGTTTTTTTGATGGGGGAATTCGCCCCTGAGAATGACATGTACAGATTCAACATTTATACACAAACATTTCCGAGATGCATGTAGCAATGATCAACATATTAAAAGTGGTTTGTAATTAAATTATTCCTTTTTTACAGGGATGAAAAGTAAAGAAATGAAGGTAACTTACAATAAAACGCATTATAAAAAAACTTCATTTTGGAGATTCATCTAAAATAAAGCTCATAAATGAATATACTTATAATATTTTTTATTTAAACAACTTTAAAAATTCTCAGACAAGAGTTCTAAACAACCATAATTAACACTGTATTTGTCAGTAAATAATCTTTTTTTAACCAAAATTAATTTTCACTCTATGTCAACCTTTCTCTATAATTTTTTCATATCATCAGCTTATCACTTGATATAAAGTACACTAATTAAAACATCTCTAAAAGGTCAAAAAAAAAAAAAAAAAAATTGCAAGAAAATCAACTCAGGTCATAAATTGTATAACATTAGTATCTACATAAAACTTTTATTTTCAAACAGACCTTTATTTTTCTTTAAACACATTCCAAACAAACAGCCTGACATACACAAAAAAAAAATGATATGTAATTCTCAAAAGTCATCATTTACTAGTAATTCTCAAACTGGTTTCCTAGGTAGTAAAGGCAGAATTATTGAAAAGGTTTTAAGTTTACATTGTAATATATTAATATATAACTGAAAAGAAACAAATCCTATCGACAGCAATTTTGGATTAAGTCGGACACAAGTTGTTGTTTTTCCGTACAAAAAAACCATCACATACGCAACCAAAGTGACAAAACTTCATTATATAATCTGGTCTATATTAACACTCAACCTACTGAATTTCTTAAATAGACTTGCCCAGCTTCTATGTTTTGGAACTGTCCATTATCAATTCTAGGGATATCAGGATGTAACAGTCAATCCACAGTGTAGATCTTGGTCAGACTGCACAGTGGTGTAGACTGACCTGGCAAAGGCTCATCACTTTTTATTCCAGCAGGTGAAGTGTTAAACAGATAACCAGCCTATGAAATTTTGTTTCCCGTTTTAGACTGGTCTGCATCTGTTATTTCATAATGCATTACATCCAAAGGAGACTAATATACAGAAAAGATCATTTCATTAAATAAACAAAAGGAGTTTTTTTCTGAAAAATAGGAAAATGGTCGGGAGATGAAACTGGGCAAAAAAATCCAAATTTCTCGTAAAAACTGTAAAAATATTATAATTTAACAACAAAATATATATAGATAACTCTATAAAATAATAATAACAACAAAAACCAATGTGCCCTAATATTTAACAAATATATTGCACAGAATCTATCATCTTGTTTTTAGTAACAAAATATGTAAGCAATACATGTGTAACATATAAGCATCTACTTTCTTACAATCATATATTAAATCAATATATTTCTATTGGCCATACCATGCCATTTAACATACTGAAATAAAATCTGTTCTTTGAAAGAAAACATTTTTTTAAATACATATTTACTGTATTTTAACATAACTTTTATTTAATTTTTCACATGACTATGTTACATAATGAGGAGTGAAAGCATCCTATGAAATAAATATCAGATTTAAGACTAAAATTCTTATGAAAGTTGTAAACAGTCAAGATCTTCAGCACCTATTTTTTTCAACAGGACACATTCTTGTTTTTCCCTCCCATAACATGTTTTAACCACTAAATCATTTTGTCAAATAATTGTTTTTTAACATTAACTATTTTCGGGCATTTAACAATGTGTTCTTATTACCTCCCTTTATTTAAAGGATTTTAAAATTTAGCCATTCACGAAAGCTGTGGTAATTCATGTGATAAACGTCTTGCCAATTATCATATTGGTACACCAATTTATGGTAATGTATCACAAAATCTCAGTTACATCAGCCCATATAAGTGTATAATAATAGACTTGCCAAAGTTTAAATCTTTAACTGTCAATTGTTGTCTTCTAAAGTTTAAATATTAAAATGAGCCGTGTCATGACAAAACCAACATAGTGCGTTTGCGACCAGCATAGATCCAGACCAGCCTGCTCATCCGCGCAGTCTGATCAGGATCCATGCTGTTCGTTATCAGTTTCTCTACTTGTAATAGAGTTGGTAAGCGAACAGCATGGATCCTGATCAGACTGCGCGGATGCGCAGGCTGGTCTGGATCTATGCTGGTCGCAAACGCACTATGTTGGTTTTGTCGTGACGCGGCTCATACAATTGTTGCTAGCATAGTAAAGAATTTAAGACAGCTTCCTGTCAGCACATAAGATGGCCAACCTAAGCAGCACACAGCTTCTGATTAGCACACAAGTGGTAGCTGACCTTTGCAGCAGTTAAAACCTTCTTATCAGCACATATTTGCCAGCCCAGCAAGCATTTAACTACTTCCTATTAACACACATGTGTCGTCTGCCCTGAGCAGTGGCTAATCTCCTATCAACACATAGGCAAGGTGCCCTAAGCAACTAACAACTTCCTTTCTGCACGTATGTGCAAAACGAGCTGAGCACTTAGCAATCCCTATACCCAATAAACACGCGTGCTGGCTGCCTATGTGCAATGGCTAGCCTCTTTGTCAACACACGAGCAAGCTGCCCTTAGCAGTAGAAAACTTCCTATCTGCATGTGTGAAGGTCACCCTTAGTCATACTGTGACAACACAAGATTTTGTTTTCTCATTGGTTTAGATATAATAATGCTAATTATATTCACATCAGGTAGTATATTGACAATAAACTAGCTCATAAGATTAATTCATCACAAATTATTTTCTATAATTACCACATGCTTATTTCAAAACTGTAAAAGAATGATATGCTCTGAATAAAAAATTTTCATAAATATATATCTCTTAACAAATTGTTTTCAAAATCATAAAATAAACAAAAAATAAAAACACATAGGTGTTGACAACTATCTCGACAATATGCTACATAAATACATTGGATGATCATGCAAAATATTTCTAACAAAATCTTCAGAAAAAATAAATATGAAAGCACAAAACGTAATAGTTTCCTTATATTTGGACTTTTTAATATGATTATTAACTTATCTTAATCATACTAAAATTTTTTTTTATAAAATGCATAATTTTCTTTGGATGGGGGGTAAACAGCAATTGTTCATTATGTAACACAAGACAATCTTATATTATTTATTACGAGAGTTGAAAAGATCGTAAATAGGTTGAATGTTTGAGGCATAAAGCATTTATGTAAAAAAAGGTAACACAACCAAAATCTTGTAAATCACAATTCTTAATATTTGGTATCGTACAATAAGTATGCCAAAAAGGCAATAACAAACGAAAATAATTTTTATGACAATTTTCAGTTTTCTCTTACACTTCTGAATTTGTATTAAGAATTTTCCAAGATTTACCTTGTGTCAATTTGTTGCAGAATTATACCATAACTCAAACATATATGGTTCAGTTCAGTTTCAGTGTAACCTTAACTATAATTTCAGTTACCACTCTCTTGACATGGCTATTCTTTCATGGTACACTTTCATACTATACTATCCTAAAATCTATTACTCTTTTTTCGTTTTGGAGCATAGCCTATGTTTCAGAATGCACTAAGATACTATGATATATCTATTTTGTCCTAATCTAATCATCGTACCCTTTAAACCTTGCTTCAAAAAAAATAATAAAAAAATATGATCACGCAAACATCTCTTAAACAAGCTATCACAATCTGCCCAATCTCCTTAATAAATCAAACTTTCTTTCCCTATTATTACAGGAACATAAACAACAGGATTTTTTTGCAATGCTTTACCTAATACTGGGAAATTGCAGGATTAAAATTTAACAATAATCAGGTCTCATTTTTTTTATATAGGATGTCTTTGGATCACCTTGTCAAATTGAGGATCGGTTGTTTTCTGATGTTGTTCTACCTTGAAAACTAATGGGATCATATTCATTTTTCTTGCACTTCAAAGATGCAGCTACCTAGAAATCAACCCCTTGTATTCATTAACAGACAAGAATCTTAACAGACAAGAATCTATGCATGATCAAGAATACAACCTGAATGATTTTAAATCCCATGTTTACACAGTTCTTCTAATGTTAACTTACACTCTTCACTTAAAGTGAATATTAAATCATTTGCCAGTATTTTTCTTATATCTTGGAACATATTAAATCCTTCTGAACAATTAACTCTTTATGTTTAAATGTATATATCTTATATATGTCTAGTTTTATTTGACTTAATTACTTATCTTTTTGACTTGAAGTGCCAACTGTCTACGTCCTTGAGCGGGGTTCGACAGAAAATATAGATAGAACCTTTTGATTTTGTTTATTGGATTTTTTTGCCTGCTTTGTAATTTAAAACAATCCGTTTTAAGTTTTAGGGTTTTCAATATCAAAATACAAAAATCGAGCTACCAACAGTATAGAGCCAGAACCCCTTACTGGTGGCAAAGACTAATCACTTTCCGTCGTTCCCTGCAGGCTAAGGGCTAAAGATAACTAAAACCCTAAATTCATATTTCAATCAGCACCCCCCCCACTCCCCAGTTTCTGTACTGGAATGGTTCACTTACAAGTTTGGAACAGTCTGTTGTAAATTCTAGGGGTTTCAAGTTACATTTCACTGAAAATAAGCAGCTATGAGAATGAGAATATACAGACCAGAATGAACTTTCACAAATTTAAAGACTAGTTTGGTTTAAATATACTATATGTATGACTTACTTCTACACTAAAGTTCAATATAGAGTTAATATCTACTGTTTACCAGGGCTATGGGATATATTCAATTAAGTAAAAGAATGTCAAATTTCTTCTGTCACACATTGCCAGGATTTCAGATAAATCAAGATATAAGATTTTGTATCAAAAAAATATTTCCACTTACATCGAGTCCTTAAAAACAAAATAAAATAGAAAATAAAACAATGAACTGGAAATGTATATGTAATAACTAAGCAAATTGGATTTTGGAGACACTATTGCACAATATTTTTTCTTTTTCTTAAATAAAGCCATTCATACTTTTTGCATTTACATATACAATCATCCACTGAGTGGATTTCTGATACATTTCATCTATTGTAAATTCTTGTAATGTATTGTCTAAAAACTAACTTCACAATTCAAAGACATAGTCGATAAATATTTTCAACATTTCAATATTTCTACTGTAGATGAACTCGGAGCAAAGTATATAAACTTTGTCCATAGTTTTGTTTGTTTCTGTAATATAAAAAATGACACACATACACACATATTCACTATATGCTGAATGATAGCAATTACACATATGCTGTACACAGCTTAATCACACTTAACACATATGCTGTTCCAATCTGTCATCACAAGTTCAGAAAAACCAATATTTACATGTGTATACTGTTTAACACATATAAAATCAATAAAAGATCAGATCTGAAAAGAGAAAGAAGAAAACATGTACTTTATTTAGTTATGTAACATGGACAATAGTACATGGCATTATATTAGTTTTATAGGTAGATATAAAAATCAAAATGCTTATATGTCCAATGTTTCAGGCACATTGATTTTACTGTTGATTTTTAAAAAAAACACAGTTTATTTCATAAGGCAGCATACTTGTTCAAAAAGTTTAGAGGCAGCTGTTTTACACTGTCTTTAAAGCATTTACATTAAACCACTGACAGTTTGTACGGTAACTGGCTACTTTTCTTAAAGCTCCATACCTCCAGATGAGTCAAAATATTCCAATAAAATCAAACTTGTGAAAAATGTACTAAGATGTAAGGAAAAGTATAAGGTTTCAAGATTCAAGTAATATTTAACATATTATGTGCGATTAATGACGGATTTTTCAAGATTTACAACTAAATTTCTACTAATGCAGTAAAGGCTATTTATGCATATTTTGACCACTTTTTGGTAATTTACGTGGTTTGTTAGCGCCATTGATAATGTGTAAATTGCTTCCTTTTGGTTACTTAACAATATTACACATTCAAAAACATTTTCAAAATTTTCATGAAAATTAGCATGAATCTGGAGGCATGCTGCTTTAACAGGAAATAATTTACTGTCCTGTTTGTAACCATAGACAGCATGTGATTTAAAGCAAAGCAGGTTTCGGACATTTGAAATTAAACCATAGACAAGAATATTTGCTTTTAACCCAAAAATGAGGGCCATATGACTTAAACCTATACCTCACTTCTAGAGAGTCCCGACTACTGAAACAGTTATCAGATTGCCCCTTACCATGCCGGAACCAGAGGTAATTAACCTTTGCCATTAGTAAAGAGCCAGGCTAGCCTGAACATACCAGGCTCTATACTGTTGGTAGCTCAGTTTTTATTGTTTTTTTAATGACACTAAATTCAATCTACCAAACAGCATATAGTCAGCTCTGATTGCATTAAAGTGCATACTGACCTGACTTTGTACTCCTGGCATTGGTTAAGACATTATAATAGTTCAATAGTATTTATTTTGTGTGTAAAACTTACTATGTTAAAGAGGGCCAGTACTATTTTCATCACTGGGAGACTGTGCTTTTAAGCCATCATTTTCTGGGAAAAATATACTGGGCTCTGTATTGCGTCTTCGGATCTTATTCTTGCTTTTCTTTAACATTGTTGCCTGCAAAACAATATATATATTCAGCATTAACAACAAATCTATATTAACAATCATAATTTACCATTATTGGGTTTTGAGAATAATTTATAAACATATTCAATACTATTGTACATATGGCAATTCTAAAGTGGAGGACAACCCCTGGTTTTCCTTATTTATTATTTTATATGTGCACATAGTTTCTGTAGAGTAACAGACCTTCTGTAAACTAGCTGGAAAGTTTCATTTCAACTATTAAATGTCCCACAGCAAGATTCAAACCCAGACGGCAAAGCAATGAGATACTGGATTCTCTAAACTCAAAATACACAGAAACCTTTAATATGCCAAAACTAGCTGCTTTAACTTCATCAATTCAAAAAGCAATGCATATATGTGAGTTATACAATAACTAATAAGAGTAAGGAAAAATGCATATTTTGATAACTTACAATAATAATCATTTCTGTGGAAAGTAAACGCCTTAAAAATACAAGGCTCATCTCAGTAAAATACTTTATTGCAGAAATTTATTAAAATCTATCAAATTATTATTTCTGAATATGTCTAATTTGAAGTATATAATGGACAAACTGTGAATTGGATGCTGCATTCCCAATTACTAGTCAAGTGAAAGAGGCCATTTTTTGAGACAAAAAAAACAACAACAAAAAACATCCAGATTTTTTAATTGAACTATATATTCATACTGTGTTCACCTGTAGAGTGTAAAGTTTAAAACGTTATAAAAATAGTCTAGGTGTATTCAAAACAAGCTTATTTTACCTTTATAAAGGGACTGTCTAGTAATTATTAATATTTTCATATATCAAATTCAAGTATAATACATCTTTAAGCTTTGTAAAAACACTTAATTGCTACACAATCAAAGCATTTTTTACTCATTTGAACAATTTTCAAGTTTTCATAAAAGTCAACAAAAATCTGAAATGTATGCTGCTCTAACAATAAGTACTGGAATACCTTTAAAGCTGAGCGTAGAACTACAACTTGACCTGCAGGCTGTGTCCACGGCTCGCCATCAACTTGTACGGGTAAATCTTGAAGTAACGTGATCCGTAACTAAAATAAAGACAAATACCATGTACATAACCTACAATGATACAGCAAATCAGACTCAACCATTCTAATCATAATACATTTGCAGCAAGAATTTTTGGGTGTTTTTTTTCTGCCCCTGAACATTTCTTAAAATGACAGGAACTTACTATAACAAATAAATATTTACTTTTACAGTTTCTTACATAAAACAAGAAGGCTATAATGGCCCTTACAGCACTTATCAATCATTAAGGCACTAAATTATGACAAGGGACAATTAATATTTTTAGCAGATAAGTTAAAATCTAGGATGACTGACATCAAAATTCAAATCTGCAGCTGAAAATGGTAACATTGTCACAAATTGCTAAGGCAAGTCAATTGTTGCTATGGAGGTTATTATTAACATTCTATTTACTCTGCAATTCAGGCATTGATTTGAGTATTTAGAAAATAAATGTTTTTACACAGCTTCAATTCCAGAGGTTGGTAGTTCCATCTCTAATAACTCAGATTTAAATTACCAATTGAATTGTTTTTTTAAAAACAAATTTCATTTTTGTGATGTATTTGTTTATTTAAAGATCCAGGATAGTTTGCATATCTGTGCAGTCTAATTAAGTTCTATACTGTAGATAGCTCAATTTTTGTATTATGATATTCAAATCTCTTAAACTTTGAATGAACAATTCCAAATGCAAAGCTGTGCAAATCCATTTCACAACTTTACCAAAATATACACCGTTTACTTACATGACCACCCTGAGCAACCCTGATACCCGTTCGTAGGCCACTATGTATCTGTGCCATGTGCACAACTCCCGTTATGCCCACCACCTCGAGGTTGCCATCATAGTGTGTGGGTTTCTGAAATTGGTCCTCTTTCTCAGGGCCCCAAGGGTTAGCCCCTGAGCCCCAACTGCAATATATCATCATATATGGTCAAATCATTGAATATGATTGTTAATTAAATTTCACTAAAAATATGTCAATATTTATCATAGCAGCTTTTAAGAAAGAAAGTTCTTGACAATTAGTGTAGTGTACTGGGTTGTTTGTATCTTAAAAGATGTCTTACATTTATAATGATTACCAATAAAAGGTTCCCATTTTCATTCTAAAACACAATAGTTTTTACAAAACCTAAGCAAACTATATGGAATACTATATGAATATAACGAAACAATTTTGTTATACATTTATTGAGGAATTATTGACCAAATATATCTGTTAAAAAAAATTTAAAAACATTCAAATTTCTGTGGTAAACAGCATTACTTTATCTACCTTTGCCAAAGTAGTTAAATAAAATCCATAAACTTAGAGGACAAATTAAAGATTCATAAAAGTAACAAAAGATCTCAAATTTTTTTATGTAACATACCTTAAAATATTAAGAATTATAATTCCCTCGCATGGAGGTAGATCAACTAATTTCCCGTCCACTTCAAGACGTATACAGCGGTGAAGATCTTTACAAGTGTGTGGCTTCACCATCTTTCGTAAACTCATTTGCACATATACTTTCTTATTATGTAAACTGAAATATCAAACAAAACAAACCACTTCAGACTTTTTAAGTAATTCTACGGAGAAGTTCGCTTACCTCGTCATATCTATTTTACTCTTAAAGTAAAGATAGCAGAAATCCATTGTAAACAAACTTAACTAAGAGACTTCTTTTTTTTTTTAATTGTGCTGCATCCAACATTTAATATTCTCAAAGCTTGAGTAAAAAAGATTGTTGTTTTTTTCACCAGTCTCAAATTTGTTGCCTGTAATTGACAAGTTCTGGTGCCATATGAGATACATAATAGGGTTCAAACCTATAGTCTCTAGGTTAAGAGGCAATTACCTTAACCACTAGGCCCATGCACTCTAAATAAATGCTAAACTCATGTATTAGAACACATGAACACAACTTTTCTTAATGTCATCAATGTGAAATGTCAAAATATTCAACAATTAAACAAGATACCTCATAGTCCTTGTTGTTTATATCAAAGCAATTCAGTAAATTGTGGGGAACAAGTGGACTAATTATTCAGGTAAAGACCTTTTTCTGCATACCACAACCTTACATGGAATAACTTCAAGTTTTACTTACAGATCATTAAATTATTTTTTCTTTTCTTAAGCTCCTTAAAGATACAAACTTCTCTTACAATATGCTTACATATTATTTCTGGCTTTCTAGCATTAGGCGGGCATTAGAACCACTAACCTAATATATTCTTCACAAAGACTCTAACATCCCTGTCAAGGTCCAGCCCCCAGTAAATATAACCAAGTTATTTGTAAGAAAACGCAACAAAAACAAACATACCGACTATTAAATTTATCTGGTTTTTCTTCTCGGGCTTGATGGAAATCAAGTGATATGTCTGCATCAATACCTATACCAAAGTAATTATTCATGACAAAGATGGTGGTGGTGTCCTCATTTGTGTTTGCAGAGTTTGTATCATTTGCTATGGCCACCTTCGTCTCATCTTGTTCTTTCTCATTAGGATGAAATATCACGGTCCATCTAGAAGCATACAAATTATACTGGTCATTACAGACATTTATCTTAATTGGGTTTTATATGACACCAACATACTATTGGTCATATAATGGCAACCTTCCAGCTTTATTGGTAGAAAAAGGCCTTAGGTGCCCCTCTGTACATTATTTCAGGGAAAGCTGGATAGCTTCCTCGCATGAAGAATCTGAAGACACTAGTTCAGGCTTACAGCGATGTGAGGCAACTGGTTTGAAATCAACAACCTTAGTTAAACCACTCGGCCACGGACTAATATATCTACATATTGAGCTGTATTTTTTTTTTGATGCATTTAAAAGCTGTATAGTCTCCAGTTGATCAAACAAATTTGACACTTGGCTTATAAAATTCAGGAAATAAACAAGATTAAGAATGCACATATTGGCTTATCTTAGAAACATTTTGATACAATGTTTGTCTCATTTATTCTTATACATGTAAGAATTACCTGTCAAGTTTGATATCTTCTGCATCTATAACATCTCTCAAATAATTAAGAGGATCTTCACCACCCGTATACCCTGGTCCCCAGCGTAACACTCGTGCTAAGTCATTACCTGCAATATAGTAATATACTGTAAACCCTGGTCGGACTTAAGGTTTAGAAAGCTGACTAATGTAATACAAGTTTCTTAAGCCTGGCATCCTTAACAGATTGAAAAGGTGAAATATGACAGCCCTATCTTTCCCACATGTATTCCATACAAAACACTTATTATGCCTAAATTTTAGTTTGTTGCTGAATTCAACTTACAGATATATCCTGCTTTGAATTTGAAACAGTCCATTCAAGGTTTAATTGTTTTTCAATATCTAAGTACACAAATTGAGCCTTGTATGACTGCACAGACACATGTAAGCTGGCCTGCCTGTAAATTGGTGGCAAAGGCTTATCATTTTCAGTTTGAGCAGGTTAAAGGTTTAACTTACCAGTGCCTAAAGGAAGTATAGAAAGAGGTGGTGATTGACATATGGCATCCTGTCCAACATTATCGAGACACGATAGTACCCAGCCAACTGTACCGTCCCCACCACAGGCTAGTATCTTGTAGAAGGGAACATTTCGGAACACATATAAACTGAAAGCAAAATAGTGTAAGATAGAGAATATTTCAGAAAACATCAACTGAAAACATAAAATCACTAAGTAAAGTTTTGAAAATCGTATTTTTAATCAATATTTTTTTGACAGGTAATGTGAAAAACTTTATCCTTATCAACAATGTTAAAGATTTGCACCAGCTAAAGTGTTTTTTCTAAGTCAATAAATTGAATGCACTCCGTTTGTATAGTTATGCCTTAAAATGGACCACAAAATGGAGCATCAAAATGCTACCCTTATTAATGGAGTCCCTCGGTCAAATTCTTAAAGCATCCAAATCAAACCAATGTCTATACAAGTACCAAGTTTTTTTTTACAGGATCTTTTTTTTCCCATAAATATTCAAGTTTTCCCAAATACAACATGAAAATCTGTCAGATGATTTTTAAAAAGGTGACAATTTATGCACAAGACAAACTGCAAGAGTTTAAAGTAATGCAAACACGGTAAAAGTTGTTTTTCTAGACTACTTTTTGCTTTTAGTGTGGGGTAGGGGACAGGTGTCTTTAAAACCTCCTGAATCAATCTAGAGCTACCTTGTTCTTTTTAACATTTATATAACTTTGTCACTATACAAGTGTTATATGTAAAAAAAATCTTCACTACATATAGGTATACTTACCCTGGAAGAGGGCCACCATTTTCAAGATTGAAGACTTGATGAGGATTGAGAAGTTTTCTGAAGGATGTGATCAGATTTAAGCCTTGACATCCACCACTCTTTACATTAACAAACACTAAAAGTGGGTTCGTGTTATCTGGTATCATGTGTGGCTACAACATTAATCAGAAAATTAATTACATCACTCAGAAGAGCAGCTTCAATATCAAAGGACAAGTATATGGACTTTTTGCAATACAGTGTCTATTCTAGGAATTGAAAAATAGGGGTGATTTTCCCCCCTCTATTTCAAAAAAGGGGGCGATTTTCAAAATCAAAGGGTGCCAATGTAAACTGCCAATGTTAAATCGTCTGCATTAAGATTACACTGAGGCAATCAACCGATGAAATAATTAAAATGATAATATTTATTTAAGGCAGCAGAAGTTGTCCCCCCTTAATTTTTAAACGAAAACAAATTATTACATAACTGCCGCGATTGATTATAAAGGGATTGGCAATACAAATAATCGAACTATCTTTCACGTCTAGATCGTAGCCAAGCTAGGAATTGCCTCATTTTTCTTGATTATTTACTACACTAAAATGGCGCCCAACTGTCAGACCTAGCACACTAGTTCCGGTCGATACGGAACATTCCGTTAATTTCCGTCAACCCACGTAACCATACAGTACTAAATTATTATAATTAGCTTACAGTTACCTCCCTTCGGTTTTCGGTGTAAATGTAAACAAAACAACCAAATATAATGCGGGATGGAAGTTTTACGGTTTTATTAACTTTTTTATAGATGCGCGATTTTCACGCACATGATTTTGAATTTTGCGCGATCTGTTAAATACTAGCGTGAATTGCGCAATCGCGCGTCCTAGAATAGACACTGCAATACTGATACAGTCAAATTGCAGATAACAACTCTTACTGCCTCTCCATGCATTACTCTACAAAGTGAACAACTGTGTAGACACCACTGATAAGCTCTGGCAGGATAGCCTTCTCTTAATAATAATTGGAGTCGTCATAGACCTCAATTGTTTCTCCACAGTATAACCTATTAGAATCAAACAAATTGTTTTTAAGATCCTATTGCAAAGGGATACAACTTCCAAAGTTCCAGTTTACATGTTTTATCACAGTTATTTCCCTTACAACACCTAATAACATTTATCTACATTATGTAGATAAATTAACATGATCAACCATGGAAATTTCACTGAATTTTCCTTTTTTAATAATATTTTGATACTTTCATCTTCAGGGATAATGCATTTTATGTTAAAGTAACGAGTTTAACAAGCAGGAAGTGGTGTGAATGTAGCAGTCTAATTTACTATAGCCTAAGCCAAAGCTACAAAGGTGATCTTACCTGAATATTAGGTAATAAAAGCACTAAAAGCTGTTTCTCGTCGAATACAGCGTCTTTGAGAATGTTGAATACACGAGTTGCCTTGTCAGCCTGGGAAAAATCTAACACAAGAGCACCATACTCATAGTATATCACATCAAAACGCACCCACTTGTTGGCTGTAAATTCATAATAATGATAATAATACATAGTTATGTTCTATAAAAATACGCACGCCCAGTATTCACTAACCCTCAACCGGCTAAATTTCTATTATGGACATGCCTTGCTATGAAATTTGAATCAGACCATTTAAAAATTATGGGTCTTCAATATCAAAATACAATTTTTGAGCTACACACAGTATACAGCCTGGTTAGACTGCATGGATGAAGGCATTATTGTCATGAGAAAGGTCAAATTTTTATTTGATTTGAATAAACAAAGCCATTTTGAATAGTCAATCTTTTTTATTTTTAAGAGCTCAAAAAGTAGAGGATGTTTATACGTCATATCTTTTGACAAATTATTTCCCAATGAGTTTGGAGACATTTTTAAAAAGGTCAAATGCCAACTTGCATCACAGTGTGCTTACAATGTTTTGCAGTGGAACTGGCCAATACAGCACCAGGCCAGCCTGTATGTCTATCTTGTCTAACTCCGCTTTATACTGTTGTCTCTTATCAACTTTGTAACATTTGTTATTTATTAATAAGTAATTTTTTGTTTTGTTTCTGTTGGGTTTTAACTCACACCAACGCAGTATAGGTCATATGGCGACTTTCCAGCTTTACTGGTGGGGAAAGACCTGAGATGCCCTTCTGTGTACTTTTTTAGGCACAAACAGGCACCTGTGTAGAACCACAGAAGTTCCACAAGCTGGTTGGGTATCTTCCTCACATGAAAGAATCCAGTCTGTCGTGATTCGAAAACACAATGGTGTAGGGGTGGTTAGATAATTATCAACTTTCGAAACAACCATTTAACTTAATTGTCAATACAAATCTTGTCAGAAGAAGCAATCACATCACAACAGCATACTTTTTACAATTCAATTCATTCAATTCAAATATTCTCTCTGAATAAGAAGTTTCTAAACTTTCCAAACAATTATTCCATCAAGTTTCCTATTACCTTTGCCAACAATGTCCAACAATATTTTCTCATACTGTCGTTGTGACAAGCCAGTGGGTAAATTTCCTACAAATAATGATATACTGGGGCCATGAGGATCTTCTTTTTGCTGAAGGTAGTACCGAGTCATTTGATTTTGCCGTAAAGACTCCTGCAAAGTAAATGTAAAATCATTTATATTAAACAAACTCATAGCAAGATCAACAATTTTAGGTACAAAAGTAAACGGTTCACATAGGTGTTGTGGTAAGTGTTTATAAAAACTTTGATGGTAGATGTAGTGCTTAATTCAAGCAAATCAAGCCACAGTTCTTAAGCATGGTATATTATATGTCTCATATTATCAAATGGTGACCATGTTAAATCACATTTATTATGATTTATCTTTTCTCATGTTACATCATGCTTATCATATTATATCCTACTGAACATGCTCAGCTGTAATATTTATAACAGTATATCCAGTTTTTCATGTAATTCTTTTAATATCATATCCTACAAATCTGTTAGGTTATATCATACTGAGTTATATCATATTGACCATGTTATATAATCTTTACTATGTTATATTGTACTGACCAAATTATATCGTATTTGCCAAGTTATATTATATCTTATTAATCATGTTTTATCATATTTACCATGTTATATCATATTGACCAAGTTTTATCATATTAACCAAGTTTTATCACATTAACCAAGTTTTATCATATTAACCAAGTTTTATCATATTAACCAAGTTTTATCATATTAACCAAGTTTTATCATATTGACCAAGTTTTATCATATTAACCAAGTTTTATCACATTAACCAAGTTTTATCATATTAACCAAGTTTTATCATATTAACCAAGTTTTATCATATTGACCAAGTTTTATCATATTAACCATGTTATATAATATTGACCAAGTTTCATCATATTGACCATATTATATCATATTGACCAAGTTTTATCATATTAACCATGTTATATCATATTGACCAAGTTTTATCATATTGACCAAGTTTTATCATATTGACCAAGTTTTATCATATTAACCATGTTATATCATATTGACCAAGTTTTATCATATTAACCATGTTATATCATATTGACCAAGTTTTATCATATTAACCATGTTATATCATATTGACCAAGTTTTATCATATTTACCATGTTATATCATATTGACCAAGTTTTATCATATTTACCATGTTATATCATATTTACCATGTTATATCATATTTACCATGTTATATCATATTTACCATGTTATATCATATTGACCAAGTTATATCATATTGACCAAGTTTTATCATATTAACCATGTTATATCATATTGACCAAGTTTTATCATATTAACCAAGTTTTATCATATTAACCAAGTTTTATCATATTGACCAAGTTTTATCATATTAACCATGTTATATCCCACTGATCATGTTTTGAAATGTTCCGAGTTCATAATAACCCTTAGTATGAAACCTTTTCCCTCAAATGTCAGTAACATTTATCAGCAACTGTCCATTACAGCCATGACTTCTCTCCCCTTGTTTTTAAACAACAATCAGCAATTTTTGTTTACTTACCTTCCTACTAGTTTTGATGAGTTCCCAGGGTTTATCAGAATGATCCAGAGTCCGTTCTGAGACACCCTTATCTAATAAAACTTCTATTAAACTGAACCGTGCCGGTTCTGTGTCCTAGATCAAAATAAATAATCATACATTAAAATCTGCAGGAACTTCATTCTCTTTTTTTTTTTTTGACATAAAATAAACTAGGCAATGTTTAGTTACCATCTCTGACAATGTGAAAATATAGTCATTTACTGGTTCTTTTTTAAAATGCAAAAAAAATGTAAAATAATTAATATTTATTGTTATTTGAAATAAGAATGTGTACCTCTGGTAGAATGAATATCAATGAAAAAAAGGGTCATTCCCTGAGAAAAAACGAACTTCTCTACAAAAGTAGATAAGCTAAATATGGAATTAAAACTCATTCCAGAAGCAAATTTATTTGTGGTTTTTGCTGGATTTCATGCTAATTTCAACATATTTTGGTAATATCTCAGCGGTTAGTCTGTCTGACCGGCTTTCCTGGATAACCAAACAGTAAGAATCACAGTAACCATTAGACTTAGTAATCTCAAACTAATATTGCACCACCAGAGGATGCTGGTGAGGAATGAACTGGCGACCCTTGCATTACTAATCCGGTACTCTCCATGTTGAGCTGAGCTGTCAGCCTTAAAACAAACAAATCAAAAACAGGGAAGGCATACCTCTATACCAAATTTGTTGAGAGCTGTTCTAATAATGTCTTCTGTAGTGGATTCACTAGACACTGTAATATTCTTATGACCAGATGATACTCTGAAAAAAGATAAAGGGTCAAAGATCATTACTGTGATACTAATGTAACTAATGGTTCTACACTGTTTTAGACACTTTATATGCAACTTTCCTGACTTACTCCGAGAAGGGCACTCAGTACCTCTTATGTGCATCATTTTTAGAAATCAGAAAGAACGCAAGCAGAAGCAATCTCACTGAATAGTGTTCTAAAAACAAAATAGGAATCACAATGAGGTTGGGGTAATTAATTCAAACTCAGAGGCAATAACAACAGTCGAGCCAAAAAAGTCAAATTTTGAATAGAAAATTTCACAAAAGATTTAAATCAAACAACACCCGTCGCATGGTAAAAGGTTCATATACAATGTTTATATACATAATTTTACAGATATTCATTCTATTTTAATATATTAGTTGTTCATTACTTATACATGTTTGCCAGTTTGCCTTTTATGGATTGAAGTTTGAAATTTATCAGATCATAAATAGTCTTTTTTTCTTTTATTTTCAAGTAGTAAATTTTAAATTTCCAACAAAAAACAACTAATTCTAATCTTGCCCAATGTGAAACAAAAAGATATTTTTAGTTTTCATTTAAAACAAAAAATTATACCAAAATCAACAAAAAATTGGTCATTTAAAAACTGACATAAAATAACATTATATACATACTTTAGACCACCAGGGTAGACCTTTATATGGCCCCTATCAGGGTCTTGTTCTTTATATCGCAGAAAAATCGATGGACGTTTGCCGTCTGGAGTTGTGAGCTGTGAACGAATTGGTTTAGTTTCGTCCAGCTGTTTTTCACCTACAAACATAGCTGAAATATGAATATCTTTTGTCAATTCTAATAAACATTTATGAAAAATAATAGTAATCAAAACTGTTAACCTTCCAACCAATAATGAAATATTTAAGGAGCTCCAAAAAATCTAAAAGCATCAAATTTGAACTTCTTACATTAAACAAGTGAAGAACTTACTTATTATGGAAAAAAATCTGCAAAGGATAATAAAGAAAATTGAGCCGTGTCACGACAAAACCAACATAATGGGTTTGCGACCAGCATGCATCCGCGCAGTCTGGTCAGGATCCATGCTGTTCACTATCAGTTCCTCTACTTGTAATAGGGTTGGTAAACGAACAGCATGGATCCTGATCAGACTGCGCGGATGCGCAGGCTGGTCTGGATCCATGCTGGTCGCAAACGCATCATGTTGGTTTTGTCAAGACACGGCTCAAATATGCTTGGAATTAAATTGAAATCTAATTTTTAGTGTGAATTCAGCCAGATTTGTGTAAAAAGAGTTGTACAAGATTTTTCATTTTTAGGTAATTTTGCTCAATTAAAATGATGGTTCTAAAAAAACGGGACTAGGGAAGGATATACAAATTTACAAAGTTATTCTTCCTGTCCTACATCAAATAGAACATAAGTCTCGAAAAAAAAAAATTTCAAGTGTCGTCATGTCAAAAAATCTCACTTGAGTCCATTTGATACCTTATGACAATTTTAAAAGCCAGAGTAGCAATACAAAACTAAGATTTTAGAAGACGATGTTGTCAAGTTATTGAGGTATCTTCTTCTCAGCCCAGGGATTATAAGTTCAGCACTTTAACAGTGCTACAATAATGTTTCATCATACTACAACATTTATAGTTAGTTTCAGGTTGAGAACTTTGAAAGTTGTTCAGATAAGCTATTAGATTTTATCATAATAATACAATCTAGCAATTTGTTATACCATTACCAAAATTACAGGGGTCAGTTGTAGAAACACTAACCAAAGTGATTAAATACAAATAGTATTTTTTAATGAGTTTCATGTCACACCAACACAGTATAGGTTATATGGCGACTTTCCAGCTTTACTGATAAAAGAAAACCTCAGGTGCCCTTTTGTACATTTTTAAGGTGAAAACTGGCACCTGTTAAGGACTACTGACGTTCTAGTCCCTTATCTAGCCGGATACCGAAATTAGGAAGCCAGCAGAATTAATACAGCTAGACTGCGAGAATATTTAAGCTAGATAGACTTTATTAGTTGTACAAGATTACAGGTGAGGATTTAACTCTATACAGGACTGGAGCAGTACCTCTAGACGCTTGCAGAAATCATGATCACAAAATAGACAAATATCGTTTTTTTTCGCAGATTTTTACATTTTTCATTTACTATCATACATAAGTCGGTGTGAAAAGATGAATTAGGCCTTTTAAAGTTCATTCCGTTGGGTAAAAAGGCAAAATTTTAGCATTTAATCATTCAAGCGCCTTGCCCGGTAAATACCGGAATACGGTAATTAGTGTGGTACTCCAATCCTTTTTTAGTCTCACTCATAAAGTGAGCAACTGGATAATGCCATTCTGCACATCAGCCAGGACTGTATACATTTTATATCCATTCTTGAACCTTACACACAGGATCTTAGTTGTACAGCCGTCCGGTCAGTGAGTCAAAACAACTCTGTCACAGAGCAGTCCTCTTGGCCATCTGATATTCAGTGCAACTGCCGAGGCCCTCTTTTGACCAATAACCTCTTTGCAACAGTATTATTTTTTTAAAAAAAGGCTTCAAAATACACCCTCTATATATAAAACAAGTTTCAGCAACAGATATTTTTTTCAATGTTTTAAAATATTTAATTATCGATGACAGCTTCTCAGTTCTGAAACCGTCAGTATTTCTTCTATCTATAAGCAAGCATCCTTATTGGATAGTAATATGTTGTTGAATTTGATTGGTCATAGTTTATTTAACAATTCTACCAGTTATTTGCGCCAACTTCTTTATTTTGTTTGTATGCGTCACTGTTTGAACAACTTTTTTGCCATAGTTTGTAACCAGAATATTTCTATTCACCAAGTTGTAGATGTAGAAGTCAAGCTTTCCATTTAGTCAAATTAACCTCTCTATAACAACACCTCTCCACAACTACCAAAATTTTTGCCTCCCATAGGGTGTTGCTTGGCAGAGGTTGTACTATGTAATGAAAGTATAACTTACCAAACTCTGATGCCTCGGCAACATAGTAATTTTTAGGATCGTCAGATATGTGGAATGTTTTCAAAGCTGCCTCCTGTAAGCACAATGAAATGACAATTTTAGCATCATATCTTATACACTGCCCCCCCACCACCCTTATACCAAAATAATAAACCACTTTGTCCCCTCTTACACCTCCATCTTCAATTCATCTTCAATCCATAGACAAGACCCAGAAAATAAAACATCTACCGCACCTACCTTACTTTACCCCACCCTACATGACCCCCATGATCTCCACCTTACTGACTATCTTGAATTACTGCAAAACTCTTCTTGCGTGTTTTGCAAGTTCCCATTAATGAATAATGTTCATCACGATATAGTCCACAGGTAACAATTAAATCAAAATATCAGCTGAAAGCTTCACAATGTAAATACAGAATTACACAACTGATAAAGTTTTCATTTCATATTATAATTATAGTATCAAAATGTGAAATCTTTAAAAAAAAAAAAAAAAAAAAAAATCAACAGAAAGTATCCAGTCACACTGCAAATACATGCAAGTTGTCTGCATATTCATGTTATTATTGCTACTAGAAACTACTAATTAAAGTTTTCCCAATGATACCTTTCGCTTAAAATTCTCAGAAAACAATCTTATAATTAGAAACACTAACGAAGTATGTCTACATACTTTTTCTTTCTTTTGGCTATTAAAGTTCCTTAAAACCAATTTTATACTGGTGCAAATTGTAAAAGCACATTGATATTGCTGAATATCTAAATGTTAGATTGGGCAGCCATGTACACTGACAGGTCAGTCGGCAAACATTTATACTGGTGGCAATTAGGGCCATTATTATATCCCTGCTAGCACTTAATTGTCCGTTCGTTTAGAACACTAAGTTGCTGAATAAGCAATTTCACACGATTCTGTACCAGTAAACACAAGTTTTTTGTGCATTACTGACCACTTTACTAAGCCAAAGAAACATCCAAGGTAAATGATGTAAAACTTCATGTCTTCCATGCCCAAAGTAGCATGTTTTACTGTTCTTCATCTGATAGGTTTAACTAGTAGTTTTTAACTGATATGGAGTGCAGTGTACATTGTAATTTCAAGGTGACTCTTTAGCAGTAACAAACTACCAACAGAACAAAAGCTGTTAGTAAGAAAGTGTGCTACATTATTCCAAGTGCTAGGCAGAAAGTAAAGGGGCATAACTCTGTAAAAGCTAAATCATAGTCATGGAACCTGTGCCCATTGTGTTAGATAATCAACTACTGCATCAAGAATCTTTGTAGACAATGACCTGTATACGAAAACTTAAATGATGTGTGCCACTGCTGCTGGGGTGAGTACAATAGCTCTTCCTAGGCTTTTAATAGCGAAGTTAAAAATGTAGGGAGAAGTAACCCCAGGGCAATGATAAAACATGTGTAGAGGTCCACTTGGCCCAGCTACAGGCCAAAATTCTATGCTTTGGGCACTGCAGTTTCATGTATTTTCCTATATAAGCCTATGTAAACTGGAATCAATTATTAACTTTTCTAGAAAACCACATAATCTTAATTCCTTTGAACTTTGGTAAAACAGTGTTCGAAATTAGCAGTAGTCCTATAGCCCTTGACTACTAAATTTCTCCTCGGGCTACCAAGTTTTCACAGCAACAAGCCCGACCAGACTACTGTATTTTCAGAGGCAATATTAACAACCGTTTTGAACAAGTGAATCATGCTAGTGAAATGTCTTTTGGGCTAGTGAATATTCCAGTCTGGTAGCCCGACCAGCCAAGTGGATTCGAATCCTAATTTCTTACACTGGTAAAAATCCATCAAATATTTAAGAAGGAGATGATCTTTTAAGAAATTGTGGATTATGATGGACGACAAAAGACAGATAAAGGACCCACTGTAATCACAAAAGTTCACCTCTGTGCACTTCAATTATGCTTGTTGTAAAATACAGATATGATGAACAAGAGCTAGCTACGTACCAGTATTGCCTGGGCTGGGGCATTTTTAGGAACAGAAATTGTTCTGTATAAACGCCTCTTCATGGAAGCATTGCCATCAAACACACGAATAACCTCCCCTGAAAAAAACAAACAACAAAACATAAAATATAAATCTTTCAACTTTTAATCTTTCATCTGCAAATATATTGTCAGACTTAAACTAAATAAAAATTGTAACATCCATTGTTGAATTTAGTAATTTAGTAATTCAATCATTCCAAATGCAAACACAAATATATGGTTTCAGTCTCAAAATTGACAAACATTCAAATCCCAAATGTCAATCTGTAATTATGTTGTTGGTGGGATTTTTTTAAAAGTTTTTTGGTCAAAAGGAATCCCTTGAAATTACTTATACAAGAAAATAAGAAGACAAAAAGTATCAAAAGAAGTTATTGTTTTTTCATTATGTGTCCATAACTTAAATTTTAAACATTGGATGGCCATCTATTGACCCTTTTTCTTCATCCCCTTTATAACTACTACTCATTTGTGAAAATTGCATCAATTACAGTTTTAACAATTACATTTGCATACAATAACATTATCTTCAAACCATTTAAACATTGTTGTGAGCCTTTTACTTTTTTCCGTTCATTGAGAAAGCCAAAATTACCAAATTTCTGACAAGCTATCACTTATTGGCCATTTCTTCATTTCATCAAAGTCTCCACTATTTGGACAAACATTGAACACATACAAAAAGTAGGACAAACAACACTGCCATTAACCAGCTACAGTCAGTCACTCAATCCTTTTATTCTGTTCAAATCATGTTTCAATTTTTCTTATTAGCATATGACTATTAAATAATAGTCTGGCTTCTAAGAAATGTGTATGTTTCCGAGCAGACACTTAAGGAAGTCTTACTGCAATGCTTTCACGCCAAAAATTTTCTATTATCGGGCAATATTGTAATAAATTGGTCATTTCGAGAACTTTGTGTTCTTCACAATCTTCAGTATGCAATAATTTTTAACCATTTATAACCAGAATTAACCAAGTATTATACTGCTTGGGTGGGAAAGCATTACAATGGACCTTTCCGGTTTTTCGTAGCGGAACATTTAGCCACACCTTTTTCATTCATTGCTAGGTCAACTGCTCACAAACAATATCACAAACATAAGCACTTGTTCTTTTGTGCAAACCAGGTCAACCAGTGACTATGTATTATCTCAGTGTAGCGATTGGATAGCAAGTTAGCCAATTTACATTAAACTGTAAACACCTGAACGGTCCATAAGATTAACATTGCAAACAATAATTCACAAAAGTAAGGAACTAAACTTATGGATTACAAAAGAAAGAACTATCATTATACAAGAAAGTTAGACATTAACATGTAACAGTTAGTTGTTATAAAAGATAATTGAGCCGCATCACGACAAAACCAACATAGAACGTTTGCGACCAGCATGGATCCAGACCAGCCTGCGCTTGGATGCGCAGTCTGATCAGGACCAATGCTGTTCGCTATCAGTTTCTCTACTTGTAATAGGGTTCGTAAGCGAACAGCATGGATCCTGATCAGACTGCGCATCCGCGCAGCAGGCTGGTCTGGATCCATGCTGATCGCAAACCCATTATGTTGGTTTTGTCGTGACCCGGCTCAATTGTGGGTAAGGTTAGATATCAATAACCAGATTTGGAGGTCATAAAGAAATTTTCTAAGCTCAGACTCAGATCTCAAGTATTTGATTGATCAGAAACCAACACAAAATGTACATTGATCAATGAACATCCCAGTGTCTGTGCGAAAGTCAATTTTTTTTTCAGGCCACAAGGACCAAGACCCTTAGGTTTATTTTCGGCGCGGATGATATTTTTCCGGCCCAGATATTTCAAGCATTATTTTATAATAACTCAGTTGAATGTAAAAATGATTGTCTTTCTTTAAATTAGTGTGACTATCATTAGTGTGACCATCATATTGAAACAAAAGAAGATGCTGACCAATCAGGGTTCTCACTAGGATTTTCAAAGTAGGAGTCCTGGGACTCCCAAGCACAAAAACGTAGGAGTTCCAGATCACGTTTAATATGTTAAGTCATCTTTGCTGCACTTATATAGTTGAGTAAGGGGTTGGGGAGTCGGAGTTTGAACAGAGAAAAAGCTTATTCAGGAAAATGGTTATATGGGCCAAATGGAAAACACTGTACTATAAAACTGATTGAAAAGATTTGAAATAAATTTCAAAAACCCTACACCATCAGACCATTATGCTGTTTTCCCATACACCCCCCCTCCCATAAGAAAATATTCATTGTATGTGACAAACACATACTGGTTAAATACCTCCATCTCAACTAATGTGAACAATATCTTTAGTAATTTTAATTCCTAAACTACATTTTAAGTGTTATTACACACATTTTAACATAACATATCTTACTTTTGGTTATAATTTTTTTAATTATAAAAAGTGGCATCGCGAAAATATGTGACAATTGAAAAATGTTTGTTTCCTGCAGAATTATTCACAATTCTGCTTGTTGTTGATTTTGATTAAATTAGATTAAATATTTTTTTATTATTTTAAGATTGTTACTCTCGGCTACTTCAACAGGCATCGTAAAACAAAATTTTCAAATTTGTAATTCATGGCAAAATTTACAGTTGTTGATGAAACTTTTGAAGACAGAGTTGACTGGTATTTATTTGACATGTACAAAATAGGGTTAAAGTTGGTCAATATCTTCTTTAATAAATTCTATGCATCACAGGGAACTTGTTATCAATCAGGTCATTGATATTTTTAACTTTTTGAAATTTTATTCGGACATGAGGACTGACGGAACGGAAATTTATCTCGGACCGCATGATTTTTATTCAGCCGAGGACAGACGGACTTTCGCACAGACTGATCCCAAGATTAGAGACGGAGCTCAGAAATTTGTTTATAACCTCAGGGCTAGTACTTAGAAATGTAACCTAAAAAACAGTAGCACTGAATGAGAAATTATTAGTCATAAAAGCAATAAAATGTAAATAAAGTAGTATTTTGACTTCCATACAAAACCAAAAAAGCAACTGAGGCAAAAGATGGTTTCAGGTAATTGACCAATGTTACACGTACTGAAAACTCCAAAAACTAGAACTCCGCGAGTCGGATGTGTCGCCTTGTGAACAATGTAGTTTAGGGGAAATGGCCAGGACAAAAATGAAATATGAAAAATAACAAAGGGCAATAACTAAAAAAATAATACGTGCAGAGCAGCATTTCTGTACACTGCACTTCTTATCAATAAGATCTATCATTCTATGATGTTTCAAGTCCATAGCTTTCATACTTGAGGAGAAATGACCAGGACAAAAATAAAGTAAGAAAATCAACAAAGGGCAATTACTCAAAAATAAGAAATGCAGAGTATCAGTTCTTATGCACTGCACTTCTTTTTAATGAGATCTATCATCCTATGAAGTTTCAAGTCCATAACTTTTATACTTTCGGAGAAATGGCCTGGACAAAAATTAAGTATGAAAATTAACAAAGGGCCATAACTCAAAAATTAAGAAATGCAAAGTACCGATTCTTGTGCACTGCACTTCTTAATAATGAGATCTATCATCCTATGAAGTTTCAAGTCCATAGCATTTATACTTAAGGAGAAATGGCCCAGACAAAATTAAAAAATGAAAATAAACAAAGGGCAATAACTCAAAAAATAAGAAATGCAGAGTACCAGTTCTTGTGCACTGCACTTCTTCTTAATGAGACCTATCATCCTATGAAGTTTCAAGTCAATGGCTTTTTATACATTAGGAGAAATGGCCCGGACAAAAATAAAGTATGAAAATTAACAAAGGGCAATAACTCAAAAATTAGGAAGTGCAGAGTACTGGTTCTTGTGCACTGCATTTCTTCTTAATGAGATCTATCATCCTATGAAGTTTCAAGTCTATAGCTTTTTTAGTTGAAGAGAAAATGGCCCGGACAAAATTAAAGTATGAAAATTAACAAAGGGCAATAACTCAAAAAATAAGAACTGCAGAGTACCGGTCCTTGTGCACTGCACTTCGGGTTATTGAAAGAAGCATGCATACCAAGTTTGAAGTCAATCAGACTTATAGTGACTGAGTTCTGCTCCGGACAAGCTTTAGCGGACGCCGACACCGACAACGACAACGACGCCGACACAGACGCCGCCGCCGCCGACACCGCCGACCAAAGTAACCCCTATATGTCACCTTTTCAAGGCGACACAATAACTAGAGCTATCACTAAAGGTGATTAATACCCCAACCAGCAACTTTGACATGGTCTGAAAAAAAACTTTGAACTTAACCTATAATAAATGAATTATCAACTGTGTACAAAAAATACTTTAATTAAATGCAATCCCAACCAGGATCTTCATATAAAATTGCTATAAAACAAGTTTGATTCCTAACTCGAGATATTGTCTGGCAACCATTTTTCTATTTATAGAAATTATGACCTTGACCCCATGGGGTTCAAATGCAATACCATCAAGGGGTTCCACAAGAGGTTGCTATATACCAAGTTTGATTACAATACCTCATTCCTAACTCTAGTTATTATCAAGAAACCATGATGTGAACGACTGAGGAAGGACCGAATAATCGACAAGCTGACTCCTATATACCCCCCTAAACTTTGTTTGTAGGGGCATAAAAAGCTTTTGAGAAATGAAAATAAAAGCATTTCTGGGGCATAATGGACCTTTCAATTTTCAAAGTGTATTTGGATTTTTTAAGTGACAGAACTGATAGAAATAACATACCAAAAATTCTATGTTTCACTTTCACAGTATCGATAAAAGACCTTATCATTTCCTAATATTGGCACCTTTACCATATTCATGGAAACCATGCCTTACATGGGAACCATACCTTACACTCATTTAAAACCAAACTACTAGAAATTCTGCATATCTAACAGTGAACTCTTAAAGCTCTATATAATAAAAACAACTAATAGCATAAACAGCATAAAATTTAATACAAACAGCTTTAAAGCTATTGACTTAGATATAAGTTAAGAGAAAGCGTTTTAAATTCATACATTAAAATATTCACATAAGATTAAGTTCCTATTTCTATAAGTGCAGGTCCAATTTGTGACCATAATTTAGTATTTTGTTTGTTTTGGATTGGTTTGTCATCACAATGACTTTTCAAAGGTGATACTGTCCTGGTGGAGGGAGACCTCAAGTGTCATGCATCATTTCAGGCACAAGGGGACACCCAGAGTAGAACCACCAACCTTCTGTAAGCTAGTTTCCACACATAAAAGAATCAAAAGTATCGGATTGGATTCTTAAGTTCATCACAAGAATTGTATTCTTCAGAATAATTGATATGTATCCAGTAATTTGAATTAAGAAATGATGGAAGATTATATAATTATTGTAAATAAATAAGTGATTGAATATAACGGAACAACCAACAAATTCCCCAGAAATCTTCATGGAAAAAAAATATAAAAAAATCGAATATCAAATAACTATTTCTGTAGACCAAGAAAAATTACATGCAAAAATTAAATGTCAATTGCTCTTTAAAATGGTGAAATCTTTTAAATCTGGTATAGAGGACACAGTGCATTGAAAATGAAAAAAAAAATCTCTCTTTTTTTCTTTCTAAGAACTGATTTCACAGAAACATATCACTTCCATTGCAAGAATTTTTTATTGGTCTATCAAAAGTATAAACCTAATTAATATTTACCAATTGAATTGGAGAATTGAATTCTTTTACAGGTGGGATGAAAACCTACAAAAGTTTGAAAAGTCTTTGAGTGGCAGTTCAAATCAAATACCATCATAACTCAAAAAACTGCAAGGCCACATAAAAAAGGGTCTCTATTCTAACTGATTAACTCTATTCTAATGGCGTCTGACAAAAGACCTAATTTTATTCAGTAAAAACTAGAAATACATTCGTAGGTCACAAATGCCCGCAACTGCATTTATTATGGACAGTCTTTTAATGGACAGATTGACAACTGGAAGGACGGACAGACAAGGGCAAAACTTTATGCCCCTCCCCCTAATTCTTCACTGGAAATATAACCATTTTATCAATCTTAGAATTTATACTTATTGTTACACCACATGCTACTTAAGCTGACCCCCATAATTACGATGCTAATCTCAGTATATCAAGGGTCTTGCCCATTGATGAAAAAATATAGGCTGGTACAATAAACAAAGTAATCAGGATGCTGATGGATTGAGCCCAAACTCATTTGAAAATGTTAAGTTCAGCCAATGCATATTTCCATAGTCTGACAGATATTAAAAGATACACTAGAAAATTTACTAATCCCTTAAAAATATCAAGTAATGGAAAAGCAAAAATATCCCTAACTGCATTAGTCTTGCAGTAGAAATATGGTGAATAGTGCTGTGAAATCAGTCATACATTGCATATAAAATGTAATTTTTTTTTTTTGAATTGTGACTATTTTTTAGTTTTTTTAAATTCTTAGTTCATTTTTGCAAAAGTCGATTTTCTTGAAATTTTTTGGCTCATCTTGAGGCATTCAACCTATAAATAGCTCTGATTTTATAATTGTTGTAAATTGGAATACCTTAAGGTATATAAAGGTGAAAATATACAGCTAAATATACTTTGCAATTTTGTTGCAATAATGTTTAATGGCAGAAAGAATTTTTGATTACAAGTTTTTTTTCTTAAATTTTGAATGAGCCTTCTTCAAAGACCCCTTGTTTTAAAGTGTAAAAAAAAACCCTAATATATTAAAATTCTACATGCCAACAATCAGATCATTCAACATTGAACGTTGCAATCCCTAATATTGATCTCTCAAGATTACAAAGTGACATAAAAAACTCAATAAACAGCTTTTTTCTGAACACATACGTAGCTGAACTTTTAATTAAAACATACTCATCCTGCTATGACAAGACAGTCCGTACGTATTGCAAGGACTGCCTAATTATAAAGCCAGTGTATAGCATATAGAGTTGTCAAAGCATATTGATAATACATAGATATCTGATGAAAATACTGGCAACACACTTGTCTATCGATAATTGCTACTAATTTCTTGTTTATTATTTGCTTTCATAACCGTTTAAATGATTCTAGTAAAATACATGTCGTTTTTGTACAGATATGTTGTGTCCTGTTTAAAAATGATCTTTGCATGATTTTTATCTCACCAGTTTTTGTCATCACTGCTATAACATGTGTCCATTATGTAACAACATCTTAGTGTTAGACATGGCCAATGTTTTTGGTGAATTTTTATAATTTCCAGGCATTTTAATATTTAATCAAAACCTACGTTTTTTTTCAAATGTATGTCTCGATTATTGATTGACAGAAAAAAAAGAACGATACATTGATATCATCTCTATGGATGACAGCTCTATTAGCATAGAGTCAGGTCAGACGGACCGAGTGCTGGCAGACCTAGCTCTATATTGATGAAGAATTCTACACTTACATTCAGTATCTTTATCTTTTTCTTTGCCATCTTTATCACGCGGAGATCGATGCTCTCTATCCTCTTCATCGTTTCTCGAGTCTCCGCTACTTGACCAGTCTTCTGAGATTGTTCGTGCTATTCCAGTAAGAAAATAATCAAATTTATACATATTTGCGCAAACAAAACTTAGAAAATACTAATTACTATGTGGTGTTTTGTACAGTAAAACAAGTAATCCGCGTCATGACAAAACCAAAATAGAGTGTTTGCGACCAGCATGGATCCAGACCAGCCTGCACATCCGGGCAGTCTGATCAGGATCCATGCTGTTCGCTATCAGTTTCTCTTCTTGTAAAAGGGTTGGTAAGCCAACAGCATGGATCTGATCAGACTGCGCGGATGCGCAGGCTGGTCTGGATCCATGCTGGTCGCAAACGCATTATGTTGGTTTTGTCGTGACGCGGCTCATATGTGAAATGTTCACACATTACATACTCAAAATTTCCCTACTGTTTGAGATTTTATTTATTCTTTTTATTTTCAATTTACAATATCACATGACTCAATTGCTGAATGTTGAATCTATGTACTATTATACAATACTTTTTACACACAACATTTTCAAAGCCTTAGCCAGGTTCGATCCTCAGACAGGGTAATTTCTCCATGAGATTTGACCTTGAGATATTGTGTCTCAGGACCAGTTCACAACAGGTCAAACATTTTTGGCTTATAGTGAAAGTTACTGACTATAATAACAACTGTGAAAAGTTACACATACACACTAACAACAAAACTAAGTTTCAATAATTTTTTGATCAAGGTTGGGTCAAGTAGGGCAGATAAGTCAAATTTTCAAACATCTGCAATTTGAATTTTTAAAACAGCATTACAGCGTACAATTCTCTGATGACAAGAAAGAAATACTTACTTGGTATATCTTTATCCACAGGAAGCACAAAACAAAAATGTTTGATCTTATATTTTCATTTTCAAAGAAATACAAGACATCATTTATACATGTTATGTTACAGATTTGAAATTGAAACATGTGTGAATGTGTATGTAGTGATGTATTAGCCAAGCTTTTGATCTGGAACAGTCCATTCAAATTAAGTTATTTCAGTATCAATGTTTTATATATAATTTTTTTTTTCCCCTCCCCCATTTTTTTGCATGTGTGTGTGTGTGTGTGTGGTGTGGGGGGGGGGGTGGAGGTGTACAGGGAGGAGGTCTAAGTCACATCTGCACTGCAATAATGGTCATAATACAAAAATTGAGCAACCAAACAGTTGTGAGCCTGCAGTGTCCATCTATGCATTATTTCAGGCACAAACAGGCACCTAAGTAGAAACACCAAAGTTATTTTTTAAGCCACACAGACGAAACCATCACTACCATTCCATAAGCTAGCTAGATAGCATCCTTAGATGAAAGAACTCAAACATCTAATACACATACAGTTATACAATTTAGATGGTTCATTTTGTCCTTTTTTTCAAATATAATAACTATATCTAATAATGTACCAAATCCCAAAAAGAAATTGTGGGGACTTTGAATTTTGGATTATCAAGTTGCTGCATGGCCGACTGGTTAACATGTGAGACTAGTTATCTCAGGATTACTATTTTCTTGGTTTCAATCTCTGTCAGAGGCGAGCCATTGTTTCCTTGAGCAAGAAACTTCACACTCACGTGCTCAGTACTGGTTTGTTCTAGGAACAGATTCAAGAGCTCATAGCATAAACCAAATCCTGATTTGCTTTGACAGACAGATGGTAAATTAAATGATATACTCTCCCCATCCCAACCCCACACCCCAGTATGACTTGGAAATATGTATATGTTGAACAAAAAACCATCAAATTTATTTTGCCAGTGTAGGGCCACAAGGAAGTTTAAAACTTGTTTCTCACTCCTCCCCCACTGCTGCGTGTCTGTAGGAGGGGATTTGCAGGGCTTAAAATGACAAGTAGATAAAAACAGCAATATAAAAATATTATAGATATGATGCTCACTTGTTTTTTTACTCATTCCCATCATGGTTTCTACACTGAGGTCCATTCGTGGCATTGACAGACAACTAGAAGGTAACATTATTTCTCGTAAACTACCAAAGTTGCACTCGGCTGGAAGAAGTCGGTAACAATTCGCATGGGCCTGTAACATAAGAAACAACAGCTTTACTTAAATGGTTTCAAGCTGCAAACCTCCAGATTCATGCTTATTTTCATGAAAATTTGAAAATGTATTTAAAAGTATAATATTGTGAAGTTACCAAATGAATGCAATTTACACATTATCAATGGCACTTACAACCCATGTAAATTACCATAAAGAGGTCAAAATAGGCAAAAATAGCCCTTACTGTGTTAGTAAAGCAGGAGAAATACAGTTATAAATACTGAAAAATTGGTCATTAATCTCATGTAATAACATGTAATTTATTACTACAATTTTGAATCTTTATTCTTTTCGTACATTTTTCTCAGGTTTGATTTTATCGAAATATTTTTGCTCATCTTTAGGTATGCAGCTTTAAATGTCTGTGTATCACAGAGAGAAGGAATGTGCAAGATTAAAATTTCAATCTCCATGTATTACAACATTGTCGAAGTACGGACATTTGCAAACAAGTCAAAAACAGAAACATTTGTGTTGCTTGTGCTGTAAATGTTAAGTATGTGTTGTGTCGCTTGTGCCATAAATGTTAAGTACAAAAATGCATCTGTAAATAACCACAAACTTTCCATCAATTAACTGGATATCCAACTTCCATGAGCTGAATACAGGCCTTTTTGAAATAGACATCTAAACCTTAACCTAGTTGGAAAGGAATTCATCACAGTTTTCTATTTCCAAAAGTTTTGTTTGAAAAAAACCTCTTCTCTGCACATTAATAGAAAATGGTATACATCAATAGTGTAATAGAAGTTGTTTCTCACCGTTAATCCACACCATTCACATCTCATACCAGCGAGACACTCCGATGACCAACATGTTTTCTTGCACGCCAAACATTTAGAATTGGCCGGAAGGTTACCTTCTCGCCAATGGTGATAATGTATAACAGACTCCTGTAATTAATAACAAAGTAATAATTGACTGAAATATTCATTTATAACTTTATATGACATATTTGCAACTTGAAAATTTAATGAAATATTCATCTTCTAAATCTTTGTTCTATCCAGATGACGAAAAACTGTACCAAAGTCTTATTATATTAAGAAAAACTGTAGCAAAGTCATTTATCTGTCCATGTAGGCTATTTAAAAACATAAAAAAAATCACACTGCCATTTTGTTTATGCGTTTTTTACCCCTCAGGACTAAACAAATAATTGCCATCAATTTTTTTTTGCTGTTCTTGTACATGATACATGTGTATATATATTACTGAAAGTCATGCCTAAAGCAATATACAGTCATAAGATCATGTAACACAACAATGTATACCAAAGAAAACAATGATATCTGGTAAAGAATTTCTGTTAGGCTAAATATTATTCAATACAAACAAATATAATTATATATTCTTCAAAACTTAAGTATAAACAATAAAAGTAAACATATATCATTGTTTTATTACTATAATAGCTTGTTCAGTGAAATACCATTTATACATGTATTTTTATCATTATTGGATTTTTAGTCACACCAACATATTACAGGTCATATGGTGTTTTTTCCACCTTTACTGGTGGAGGAAGACCTCAGCTGCCACTCTGTGTGTTATTTCAGGCTCAAACAGGCAACTAAGTAGAACCATCCACGTTCCGTAAGCTAGCTGGATAGCTTTCACACATGAAAGAACCTGAAAATGCCTGTGCAACTTAAACATACAGCGGTGAGAGGCAAATGGTTTGAAGTCAACAACCTTAACCACTCAGCCACAGACGCCCTTGTAAAAATGTCCTTTATATACGTGTCCATTCATAAAACACAATGAAACAAATCGTACATGCAATTAGCATACAATTTAACAACAGTCTCAGAAAATACTCTTATTTTTTTTATTATTTTTTTTTAAAGAGAACTTACCCTTGTGATAGTAGGGGAGTATGTGGCACATTCTTTGCAGTCACTGACAACAAAATCATGGCAGTCCAAATGTGCATAATATTCACAGACTGTAAAAGCAAACACACAAAAAATCATTTTAGTATAATTTGCTATAAAATGAGTAATATAAGTGTTTCATATTTAGCAGATATTTCATCATAGTTCATTAAAACATACCTAAGAGCTGTTTTTTAAATAATTATAGTGAATAGTTGGCCTCTGGTGCTAGGGTCCCCTGGACACAGATATATATATATATACTCAAGGTTTGCTTTAGTCTTCAGGGTTCCCACAAAGAAGATAATCAAAATTACCTGACTTTTCTCTTACAACGTTGGAACCCTGGTCTTCATTAACGATCCAAGTTTTGTCAGTTATTAGCACAAAATTCTTTTCAATCAAATCAATTTCTATCAATTTTATTTTTCAATCCAAGTTTTGCCATCTGTTAGCACAAAGTTCTTTTCAATCAAATCAATTTCTAAACTAAGACTAGGAGAGAGAAAAAACTGACTTACTTTCACATCTAACAGCTAGTGAATCTTCAAGCCTCTTACGACAAACATTGCAGAATTTCCGCTTAAATTGGGCTGGTTCTGACCAGCAGTGTGCCACAGGGTTCTTGATGAGGGTAGCCGCTATGCTAGAGCAGGCAGATACAACAGTTCTCAAACATTTCTCATGTACTACAAAGTTACACACTGAAAAAAAAACAAGAGTTTATCGTGTGTAATACTTTTGTTTCTAAAACAATCAAACTATTGAACTTATAACTTGTCGAGATCAGTCTGTTGATATCATAATTTGAGTCTAAAGCTGCGGTCTCACTCCCTGCAGAGCCCAGGACCATCCCGGTAAGTTACCGGGATGATCCGGGGTGAAATTATTGTTGCGGTTACACTAACCTAGGCAATACTATAGTAATTCCTAACTAACCACCCAGGATGCGCTCAAGGATCATCAAGGCAGAGTCCAGGTGAAGCTACGGTTCATGTCGGTGCTTCCCCAGTCGTTCCCGGATGACGCTGGAAGAGCCCCGGTTGACCGAGGCAGAGCCCCAGTCGATCCAGGCAGAGCCCAGGACAATCCAGGCACAGCCCCAGTAGAACCCTGGTGGATTGAAAACATGCGAAAATGATTACTGATACATTGATACATAATTTTTATTTAATATAATATTGTTCCAGAATAGTAATTCATAATGATTTTCTGAAAAATCCTTATGCAAGACTGGATAGAAGGGAAATGGGAAGAGTTTTAATACAATCAATGCAATCATCGCAAATTGTCGTGATTCTTTTTAAATGAACTGGGCTTTGCCAGGGCTCTACAGGGATTAACTGTAGCTCCATTGTCATCCTCTGGGGCTCTGCCAGCATATTCCGGGGGGTCTGCCGGCATTCACTGGGGCTCTACCATAGCTCTACTGGCTATATCATACCCCGGATCATTCCCGGTTTGTGCCGGCAGAGCTACGGTGCTTCCAGATGTAACCCCCAATGTTTTCGGCAGAGCTAAGGATGAAGCTGGCAAAGCTATACTTCCTGGATCATCCCAGCCCACCCCGGTAATATTTAATATCTTATTCCATCCAGGGTCAAATGCCGGATCATCCCGGACGTTGCCAGCAAAGTTACGGATGTATCCCGGTTGTTCCCGGATCACCCCGGACATCTACCAGGGCTCTGCCTGGATGTCAGTGAGACTGTAGCTTTAAATAAAAATATATATCTATATGATATAATTTGGCGGTCCCCTGCATATTGTTATCAGCTGAGTTTACTGTATGACCTTTTAGAGTTTAGCACCAGGTTACTGTAAACGCTGAACTGTTTTATAAAATTTACTTTAATTTTGCCAGTTCTGACAATCAACACTCGCGACAGTAATTGACTCACACTGGACACTTATATTTGTTAACTCCCCTTTTTTGACTTTGTTTTATATGCCAAATATCCAGGATCTCCCCAACCCACAGACCTTCCCTTTCCACCTCTATAATCTGACATTTTCCCCAAATTCCCCTCTGACATTGATAAATATTGCATGTGATAGGTGATAAAAACCAAGTATAACCGCATTGACAATATTCATACCCGTTTTACTTCATACTGCAAGCGTTTTGCCTCTAAAATTATTTTCTTACCCATTTTTTTTTTTATAAATTAATTTTTGTTTTTGTTTATAAGAGTGTAATATTGTTTACAAAACATTTTTCATCTAGTTTACTTAAGACTTGTACGTCAAAATTTCAAATGTTTTAACACTATTTAGTTCAATTAGTTCCAGATTTGTTTGCACTTCAAGGCTCTTAAACTAAATCAATGTTTACACAAATCATTTTAATAAAAATCATTTTTATACAAATTTCAAGGCCCTGAAACTATTCAGTGTTAACCTTTTGCAAAGTGCATATTTGTAGCTGATATAATGACAAGAAATTGTGAATTTTTATATCTTTTCCAAGTGGAACGGGTATAACTGTCATGATTAAATTAGAACTTGACTTGTATTTTCTGGTCAAACACCAGCACATGCTATGTCAAGCTCGTACATTCCTACAAAAGCAGAAACTGTAAATTGAGAGTTCGAAAATGAAAATTTCCACAATTTTTTTCCAACATTAATAGAGATAACTTTGTCCAAAATCATCAACCATGACCAAATTCAAACTTGACCTGCTTTAATTCCTATAATGTATCCATACGTGTATGTCAAATTTGAGTTGAATGTGTACAACTGTTGGAGAAATAATGAACGGAAACTGAAAATTTATTACTTGTTTTAAAGTTTAATTGGCATAAAACTGCCAACAAAGGCAACATTGTCGCCCTTGACATAAGCTTTTGTCAGAGATGTGGGCATTATAGATATGCATATAGGAGATATGCTCTGGGAAATATTCAAACAATATCTAGATATTTTATAATCTCTAGTGACCTTGACCTTACAAATAATGTGTCACACTAATAATGTAGTAATGATAGTTAACATTTGTGTTACAACTCATCAATAAATGATGATGAGTACACAAACTTTGACCTCTATGTGACCTTGACTTTGGTAGCAGGGACCTGAATTATGTGCACAATACCAAGCTTCACAATGGTAGTCATGATAATAACCACTTGTGTTTCAATCCCTCAATAAATGATGACTTAATGGTCCCAAAACACATTTCTTTTTTCTATCTGAACTTTGACCCTTATGTGTGCTATTGACCTTTGAATTTCACATGTGGCACTCTGCCTTACAATGGTGAACATTTGTGCCAAGTTATATTGAAATCCCTCTATGCATGTAGAAGTTTTGCTCCGGATAAGTGTTTTTCAATGATCTCCAAGTGTGAGCTTGAAATTTGGCCTAGAGATCTGGTCCATGCTCATGACACTGCTTCTCAAAGTGATGAACATTTGATTTTCTATGAAGTTTCATTAGAATCCCTTCATATTTGTATGAGATATGCTCTGGACAAAATCTCTATATTCATTATTCAATCATCTTTAGTGACCTTGACCTTGCATATATTAACCTAAATTACATGTTTCACACCCATAGTCATGATAATGACTATTTGTGTCCAAATACACATTTTCATATTTTTAACTGAACTCTGACCCCTATGAGCAGTGATTTTTTTCACCATATTTTACAGCTGAATAAAGGATGTTTCCCCTAGCCCAAAATAGGCCTATTTTCCCCTAAAAATGCTTATTTTTTCCCCTAAAATGCCTTGTGCTCTTCCTAAACAGAACCATGACTTAACAGCTGCGCATCAGCTAGAAGACAGAAATCTGTCCCTATAGATAGCCTCTGCTATGTACCATGCATGTTAAATTGAATTGAAATTAATTTTTTTCATAAAATGTGTGAGTAAATTCCATTTTCAGTTATTGGAATTTGATTTCAGGTTTCCCCCTTTTCTGATTTATTGCACTATATTTTCCCCTTCAGAAAGGCACAGGTTGTGATGAAAATTGGAAAAAAAATCAATGATGTGTGACCTTGACATCGGCCGAAGGGACCTAAATTTTGCACGCAACACTCCACCTTACAATGGTGAACATATGTGCCAAGTTATATTGAAATCCCTCTATGCATGTAGAAGCTTTGCTCCAGACAAGCATTTTTAAATGACCTCTAAGTGTGACCTTGACCTTTGACCTATAGAGCTGGTTTATGTGCGCGACAAAACTTCTCATATTGGTTACCATTTGTATGAAGTTTCATTAAAATTCCTCAAAGCGTGTAGGAGATATGCTCTGGACATATTGTGGACGCCGACCACTGCCAGCCCGCCTGCCAAGGGGGGAACTGTAATACAAGCAACCAGTTTTTTTAAACGGGCGTATAAAAATCACCGAACCATGAACTAGGCATTCTTTTGAGTTATCCATATGTAAAACATAAAAGTTGAATGTGTAGAACTAGAAATTGAAATTTTTATTTTACATTAAAACGACTGCATGCCAAAAACAAGATTGCATTTGAGAAAAATGCTATGCCACCGCATTAATACAACACTAAATAGTAGTGTAGGAACAGATTTTTTTCTCGTTTCTATACAATTGAAGATTGTCATTATGCATAGATCCCTGACCTATCTAATTCTTATTATCAGATTAGTGGTTAAATCTATTGTTAATCCAATAAAAGATCAGAGTAGGAATATATCAATGCACTTGAGTCTGGTGAATTTGGTGGAGAAGGTCATATTTCACACAGCCTAAATATCATGACTACATCAAAGGACAACACAGTAAGACACTTTGTCAAAATCTAGGTCAGCTGATATCAAAGTTCACTTTACATCTTAATCTGTGCACATGGTTCAAATTTTATAGCTGTACATCAAAGGACAAGAAAGTCGGTCATATCATCAAAATCTAGGTCACCTGATATCAAAGTTCAATTTTACAACTTAAACTGTGCACATGGTCAAAATTCCATTGTTGTACATCAAAGGACAAGAAAGTAGGTCACTTTCCCCTTGGGCAAGGCAAAATTTTGACCCAAGGGTTTAATTCAAAACAATCTTGATACAGGTCCACCAAACAACATTTCAAGTCAAATATCTAAGCTGTAGCTTTTTCCCATTCAGAAAACATTTGTTTTATTTTCTGTTTTTACTATGTGTACATAATGAGAATCACAGCCCCCGGGCAGGGCCAATTTTGACACCAAGGGAAAAATTTGAACAACTTTGGTAGAGGACCTATAGATGATATTATATAGCAAACATCAAAGCCCTATGCCTTGTACCTTCAGACAAAAATATTTTTTTTTTTTTTACTAAATGTTCATAATGAAAATCAATGACCCCTGGGGTGGAACCAATTTTGACCCCAGGGCTATATTTGAACAATCTATGTAGAGGTTCAAGCCTCATAAAGTCTTATGCCATATATTTAACCTCTAGCCTTTGTCAATTCAGAGAAGAAGTTTTCAAGTTTTTACTTTATACATATAAGGAAAACTATCGCCTCTGGGGCAGGGTAATTTTAACACTAGGGGCATAATTAAAACAACTTTAGTACAGGACCCATAGATGATATTATATACCAAATATCAAAGCTCTAAGCCTTGTACCTTCAGACAAGAAGTTTTTTTTTACTATATTTACTAATTAGTACATAGTGAAAATCAATGACCCCTGTGCCAATTTTGACCCCAGGGCTTTAATTTGTACAATTTTGCTAGA